CGGAACGGCACACGAGGGATTGGGTGACTGGAACCACACCCGGCTGCCTTTGTCTTCCAAGTCGCTACAGCCAGATTTGCCTGTCGCCTGATGAAGCTAGTTGTAATTACTGGCGAAACGTCGTACTCAGATTATAAATGTTGTGACTTTGCTCTCCAACACACCTGTGTGCTGTGCTTGTAACGAATTGGCGTGTTCTGGTTACGTGACAAACCTTACAAATTGGCTGTGTCGGGTGGTGTCAGGTGGTGGCGGGTTTAATGACACATTTATATATTTACGCGATCTAACGCAAAAAACCTGTATTATGGATGATATTGATCGCGAAAGGCTACATGTTAAACTAACATAGGAGGTAAAAGTAAAAGAAAGGTAAATAAATCATCCAAAAACATACAAATGAAACTAAATATACCCCATCCTACCAGGCGAAGCCCACTGAGGTATTAACTTATTTTTCAGAAGCGACCTGTTCACAAATAATAACTCAAGAAAGTGGCTTATCATTTGGACATTTATAGCAGAAAAATTATCTTAGCACACACACTATCAACACCCGACCTACACACACTATCAACACCCTACCTAAACGCACGATAAACACCCTACCTGCACACACTATCAACACCCTACCTACACGCACTATAAACACCCTACCTGCACACACTATCAACACACTACCTACACACACTATCAACACCCTACCTGCACACACTATCAACACCCTACCTACACGCACCATAAACACCCTACCTACACACACTATCAACACCTTACCTACACACACCATCAACACCCGACCTACACGCACTAGCAACACCCTACCTACACACTATCAACATCCGACCTACACGCACTATCAACACTCTACCTACACACACTATCAACACCCTACCTACACACACTATCAACACCCTACCTGCACACACTATCAACACCCGACCTACACGCACTATCAACACTCTACCTACACACACTATCAACACCCTACCTACACACACTATCAACACCCTACCTGCACACACTATCAACACCCGACCTACATGCACTATCAACACTCTACCTACACACACTATCAACACTCTACCTGCACACACTATCAACACCCGACCTACACGCACTATCAACACTCTACCTACACACACTATCAACACCCTACCTACACACACTATCAACACCCTACCTGCACACACTATCAACACCCGACCTACACGCACTATCAACACTCTACCTACACACACTATCAACACTCTACCTGCACACACTATCAACACCCTACCTACACACACTGTCAACACCCTACCTGCACACACTATCAACACTCTACCTGCATACATTATCAACACCCTAACTACACATACTATCAACACCCTACCTACACACACTATCAACACCCTACCTGCTCACACTATCAACACCCTACCTACACACACTATAAACACCCTACCTGTACACACTATCAACACCCCAGCTACACACACTATCAACACTCTACCTACACACACTATCAACACCCGACCTACATGCACTATCAACACTCTACCTACACACACGATCAACACCCGACCTACACACGCTAGAAACACCCTACCTACACACACGATAAACACCCTACCTACACGCACTATCAACACCCTACCTAGACACACTATCAACACCCTACCTACACGCACTATCAACACCCTACCTACACACACTATCAACACCCTACCGACACACACTATCAACACCCTACCTACACACACTATCAACACCCTGCCTACACACACTATCAACACCCTACCTACACATACTATCAACATCCTAACTACACACACTATCAACACCCTACCTACACACACTATCAACACCCTACCTACACACACTATCAACACCCTACCTACACACACTATCAACACCCTACCTACACATACTATCAACACCCTACCTACACACACTATCAACACCCTACCTGCACACACTATCAACACCCTACCTACACACACTATCAATACCCTAACTACACACACTATCAACACCCTACACACACTATCAGCACCCTACCTGCTCACACTATCAACACCCTACCAACACACACTATGAACACCCTACCTGCACACACTATCAACACCCTACCTACACGCACTATAAACACCCTACCTGCACACACTATCAACACTCTACCTACACACACTACAAACACCCTACCTGCTCACACTATCAACACACTATCAACACCCTACCTACACACACTATCAACACCCCACCTACACGCACTATCAACACCCCACCTATACGCACTATCAACACCCTACCTACACACACTATTAACACCCTAACTACACACACTATCAACACCCTACCTACACACACTATCAACACCCTACCTACACACACTATCAATAACCTACCTACACACACTATCAACACCCTACCTACACACACTATCAGCACCCTACCTGCTCACACTATCAACACCCTACCTACCCACACTATAAACACCCTACCTGCACACACTATCAACACCCTACCTACACACACTATCAACACCCTACCTACAGACACTATCAACACCCTACCTACACGCACTATAAACACCCTACCTGCACACACTATCAACACCCTACCTACACACACTATCAGCACCCTACCTGCTCACACTATCAACACCCTACCTACCCACACTATAAACACCTTACCTGCACACACTATCAACACCCTACCTACACACACTATCAACACCCTACCTACAGACACTATCAACACCCTACCTACACGCACTATAAACACCCTACCTGCACACACTATCAACACCCTACCTACACACACTACAAACACCCTACCTGCTCACACTATCAACACACTATCAACACCCTACCTACACACACTATCAACACTCTACCTACACACACTATCGACACCCTACCTACACACACTATCGACACCCTACCTACACACACTATCAGCACCCTACCTACACACACTATCAACACCCTACCTACACACACTATCAACACACTACCTGCACACACTATCAGCACCCTACCTGCTCACACTATCAACACCCTACCTACACACACTATCAATACCCTACCTACACACACTATCAACACCCTACCTACACACACTATCACCACCCTACCTACACACACTATCAACACCCTACCTGCACACACTATCAACACCCTTCCTACACACACTATCAACACCCTACCTACACGCACTATAAACACCCTACCTGCACACACTATCAACACCCTACCTACACACACTACAAACACCCTACCTGCTCACACTATCAACACACTATCAACACCCTACCTACACACACTACAAACACCCTACCTGCTCACACTATCTACACACTATCAACACCCTACCTACACGCACTATCAACACCCTACCTGCACACACTATCAACACCCTATCTACACACACTATAAACACCCTACCTGCACATACTATCAACACCCTTCCTACACACACTATCACCACCCTACCTACACACACTATCAACACCCTACCTGCACACACTATCAACACCCTTCCTACACACACTATCAACACCCTACCTACACGCACTATAAACACCCTACCTGCACACACTATCAACACCCTACCTACACACACTACAAACACCCTACCTGCTCACACTATCAACACACTATCAACACCCTACCTACACACACTACAAACACCCTACCTGCTCACACTATCTACACACTATCAACACCCTACCTACACGCACTATCAACACCCTACCTGCACACACTGTCAACACCCTTCCTACACACACTATCAACACCCTACCTACCTACACACACTATCAACACCCTACCTACACACCCTATAAACACCCTACCTGCTCACACTATCAACACCCTTCCTACACACACTATCAACACCATACCTACACACACTATCAACACCCTACCTACACACACTATCAACACCCTACCTACACACACTATCAACACCCTACCTGCACACACTATCAACACCCTTCCTAGACACACTATCAACACCCTACCTACACACACTATCAACACCCTACCTACACACACTATCAACACCCTACCTACACACACTATCAACACCCTACCTACACACACTATCAACACCCTACCTACACACACTATCAACACCCTACCTACACACACTATCAACACCCTACCTACACACACTATCAGCACCCTACCTGCTCACACTATCAACACCCTACCAACACACACTATAAACACCCTACCTGCACACACTATCAACACCCTACCTACACACACTATCAACACCCTACCTACAGATACTATCAACACCCTACCTACACGCACTATAAACACCCTACCTACACGCACTATAAACACCCTACCTGCACACACTATCAACACTCTACCTACACACACTACAAACACCCTACCTGCTCACACTATCAACACACTATCAACACCCCACCTACACGCACTATCAACACCCCACCTATACGCACTATCAACACCCTACCTACACACACTATTAACACCCTAACTACACACACTATCAACACCCTACCTACACACACTATCAACACCCTACCTACACACACTATCAACACCCTACCTACAAACACTATCAACACCCTACCTGCACACACTATAAACACCCTACCTGCACACACTATCAACACCCTACCTACACACACTATCAATACCCTACCTTCACACACTATCAGCACCCTACCTGCTCACACTATCAACACCCTACCTACCCACACTATCAACACCCTACCTGCACACACTATCAACACCCTACCTACACACACTATCAACACCCTACCTGCACACACTATCAACACCCTTCCTACACACACACTATCAACACCCTACCTGCTCACACTATCAACACCCTACCTACCCACACTATCAACACCCTACCTACCCACACTATCAACACCCTACCTACACACACTATCAACACCCTACCTACACACACTATCAACACCCTACCTACACACACTATCAACACCGCACACGCAACACCGCACTGACCGCTGCTCGTGAGCTCTGCACTGCGACTCTCCGACCTCCGTCCGGTTCACGTTGAGCAACTTCGTGACGCTCCCAACATTCCAGCGAATCCATTCCATTGATTCGCTTTTTTCGATTCATGCATCAAACAAAATCCGCGCCCAAGAAGACATCATATCTTATTAAACACCCTCCCTGGGTGCACGTGTGTGTACGCTGGAGAATGGTACGTTTGGGCACCCGGAATTAACGAGACTAAACAAGACAGTAACAAATTAGCTCAGAAAATCAATCGATTCTTAGCTGGCATGGTGACTTAAGCGATTCGGTGCGCGAAGCACTGCGCCTGCACGGCCATGCCACGCCTCATCATCATCATCCTCCTCCTGCGTTGAACCACAGCGTGCCCCCATCCCATTAACAAACACAATAATATTTACATTTCGAGTTAAAGCTTTCGTGACTGCAGTGATTAATATTCTTGGTTCTTTCGGTAAAGTCACGTTGAAGGGAAGCAATAAAATAATAAAATTGAAATATATAAAACAATACAATTCTCACGACGTTTCGACCGTAACACAAACAGTCATCATCAGGTGTGAAAACCAACCGTTGATGATGACTGTGTTACAGTCGAAACGTCGTGAGAATTTTATTGTTTTATATATTTTATTGTTTCCCTTCAACGTGACTTTACCGAAAGAACCACGAATATAAAACAATAAAACATTTTTTTAAACTATTTTTAATTGAACCTGGGTAAGGCCCACCGACCTGGCTATCACAAATTATATCTCTACAAAGTTTGATTATCGTGTGGAAGTGTATAGCAGCAGCAGCAGCCGAATCCTCTATCTAAACGCGTGCTTGTACATGTGGTAGAGGGAAACGGGAGGACCGCTCCAAGTACACAGCAGGCGTCAGTCGGGATTGCAGCCAAGATCCTCCTTGTTTGCCAGGCGAGGGCGTTAACATCTCGCCAGAATGTTATTAGCCACACAGTGATCATGCCCATCGCCTCGCCAGAGAGTCAACTTAGTACCTCGTAAAATAAAATTCGATTAAATTTCCATTTAAAGCTTTCGTGACTTGCATGTATGTGTGTTTCGTTAAAGTGATTTTCTTACCTGCGTTGTTGTATTGTTTGTTTTGTTATTTTATTCTCATTCTACGTGACTTTACCGAAAGAACCAAAGAAGATGAAAGCTTTTTAGCTCATCGGATTCCTCCAGGATAAATACTGAACGCACCCTCCTACATAGCCCCGCCCCGTCCCACAGAGCCCCGCCCTCTACAGCATAGCCCCGCCCTCTCCCAGAGAGACGCTCCCAAAGAACCCAGCCCCTTCCCACAGAGCCCCGCAGAGCCCCGCCCCCTCTACCAAAGGGCCCCGCCCCCTCCCACTGCGTCCCGCCCTCTCCAACTGCCCTCTCCCATTGAGCCCCCCCCCCCCCCATGGGAGCACTGCTACGAGCGGAACCACGTGACGAGCAAGAGGAGCTCCCCCCCCCACGTGACCGACCGGCAAAGAAACATGGCGGTGTTGGTGTCGACGCTGCTGGTGGTGCTGCTCGCGGGCGGCGCCGCCTCCGCCTCCGCCTCCTCCTCCGTCTCTTCTTCGTCCTTCTCTTACCTCGAGGCGGAGGACGCCAACGGGGAGCGATTCAAGATCGAGGGCCGCGTCTCCGTGCCCGGGTTCAAGATGCAGGAGTGGATCTCGGGCGCCCGGGTGCTTGTGGAGGGCGGGGAGTACGTGGGGCTGCTCAGGTGAGACGCAGGCCTCGGCGCGTCCATCCGCGGTCACTCCACTGCTCGATGAAGCCTCCCAGAGCCGTGGCGACAGTAGAGATACACACCTGATGCGTTTAATATGCTCGTCCGTACTACGGCAGTACACGTATACACTCGACTATAACACTACAGCAGTATTAACTACACGCACACTACATGGGCAAAGATCCCTCGCCTGTCAGCGAGCACCTGTGAAGGCCGGCACGGCACACGAGGCGGTGGGTGGCCAGCAACACGCCCAGCCGCCTTTGTCTCCCCAGTAGCAATGTTTATACATCGCACTAGGTGCTGTACTTACTTGAGGCTGAGTCGACCTAGGGGAGGTCAAGGGCCGTGAGCGGGAATCGAACTTGTGTTTGCCGGGTTCGTCGCGCAGTGCGCAAACCACTGCACCACCACTCCTCCCTACCGAAGTACAAGTATACACTCAACCACAACACTACAACAATATAACCACACGTACACTACTGGTACCTATGTAAATTCATTACGCACTACGACAGTGATAACCAAACACATTAACGTCACTACCCCAACCGCATAAGTACACAACTGATTGTACACAATAAGTGCAGCGTAACAGAACTATGTACACCATTACGCACCCTGCAGCAGTACGTCCACCCACAGCCGGTATCGTCTTGTCGGTTGCTGGATGAGGGCCTAACGAGTCTTGGGAGTTGTTTGACCATACTTCACCCACGCTGCTCGGGGCTGGTTCGTGAAGGCGGCGGGGGTATAAACAATGGGGCAGAGCAGAAGACGGTTAACAACGATGCTTTTTATTCGCACCGCCCTCTGCTGTCAAGGTAGCCAACACAATCGTCTGCAGCAGGAGGGGTGGGCGTTTGGTTCAGAGATTACAGCCCTGAACTGGCTGTCACCACAAAGATTCGGGGTTCAAAGCCCTCTGAGATAAAGCCTGGTTCTGAAGTACAGTGTAAGGTTTTTATGACTTCGACACGGTCAACAATGACTGCGCAACAACAAACAACAATAACAAAAACCGCAACATTCGGTTCGTCAATTTTTTGGGCTAAATTCGAATGACTGTCACGTTGACGACATGGCGTGAACGTGCTGCCTTCTATTGTGTCGACCAGGCGAGTAGGGACCTCTGATACCCGCCTCCTGGGGACATTCGCTCACATTGCTCTCAAGAGAGATCCGAATGGATGCTTGCTCTCGTGACACAGCTCTGGGTAACACAATCGGGTTAAAATTGGGAGAGAGAGAGAAAATCTACAATATTACAATAATGTATCTCTTTAAACATAACTTCTGTACTCTCACTGTACACCCTACATCAGTATAGCTATGCAATTATAATTCCTGTATATGCTCCTTTAGGCGAAACGAGTGATGTTTGTGTGTGTTTGCATGGATGTGTGTGTGTCCTTCATTTTACTTCAACCGCGAGCAGACTGAATGTTTGATGAGAAAATCCTACTGTGGAACAATACTAGTAAATGTAATGTTTAACCTTTTTCCAGCGCAGACATCCAGACTATAAAGGCTTTAGATAAAAAAAAACAATTGTTACACTACATTGGCCGAGGTGAATAAGCACATATCACAAAAACTCAACACATTTGTCAATAACACTGGCCTAAAAGAGGGGAAGTATAAGTGAAGTTTGGCGCAATAAGCCTTCCTCATAGCAGGAATATTTCTGCTTTTGTTAATCATCTTAAAACACTGCAGCATAATAGGGGATGACGTTTGATCGTGTGTGATACATTTCCTGTGTTTGCCTGGTAATGTGTCATGCGACAAGTCCATGAGACGGTTTGCATGCATCAAAGATGCTCAAATGACGTTTGTCATGAGATGGAGAATACGTCCATAACTCTTGTAGAGCATTGTAACCCGTTGCAGTGGAGTGGCCCACGGAAGTACACATCACAGAGCTACCTCTGAGATCGGTTCAAGTGACCCCTGTTCTACACAGTAATGGGCAGGACTTTCTCACCCACTGTATACAAAAATTGTTGGTTGCATTATAGTCAAATCATTAGTTTTATTCTTAGACCTGTAGATTTGCCAAGTTAAATGAAGAACCACATTTAACGTTTTTTTGTGCACGTTTGCTTTTCGCTTGGTCTCCAAGCTGCCACTGTGTCCTCTTCCAAGCTCCATTTCGTCTCCCTTGCCCTATTTTGCCATACAATTATTGATGGCAGGATTGAGGCCATTGATGTACACTTGAGAATCCGGTTTAACCACAGCTGGCAGGGATGGATTAAAACCCAGAAACTCCACGGTGCCAGCTCAATGCTCTGACCTCTGAGCCACATGGCCACCTCCGCTCAAATGACGCGGTGTTCACTGGTTTTGCAGAACGGATGGAAGCTTCACCGTGCATAACGTCCCCTCTGGCTCCTATGTTGTGGAGGTGGCATCCCCCTCTTTCAAGTTTGATCCTGTTCGAGTTGACATCACCACGAAGGGGAAAATAAGGTAACTACATCAAGAGTTGTTGCAAATCAACGTGCTGTACATTTGTTGCATTCTATTTTTTGTAGCCACACATGTAACTTTTAGTTGTATGGATTTGGAGGGGCATAATAACGATGCCCCACAACAATGTCTCAGATACCACCAATAGTCTTTTAAAATCGCAAACCTTCAACAATGAGTAGAAAGCATAGTGCAGGTGACAGTGCAGGTGGTGAGCAAAAGAAAAACCGCTGTATTACGCTCAATGTTCAAATGGAAGTGATAAAGCGTCGTAGGAAAGGTGAACGTGTGGTTGATATCGGGTGCCATTTGAATCTTTCTACAACGAGTGCACGTACGGTAGAAGAAGAATGCTGATTAAGTAGAAAGTAAAGCTAATCATCCTTTAAAGCATTCGGAGATTAAAATTACACGGCAAAGAAGTGTTAAAATTATATCTGCCCACAACTTGTCCACTCCTCAAGGTAACATCAGAAAAAATGATAGGTTAAGCTAAATTATTTAGAAAATGCTGCTTAAGATTGTATTTGATAAGTATAATTGCTGTTATCAGTATAACTATTGCTGTTTAAAGGTTCTTGAACTCACAATTGGTTATAAATGTGTACATTGTGTTTTACAATATAGTACAGGTACTGTACATGTACAGTACATGCTTTTCTGTACATGTAAAATACGTATATTTTGGTTGTTAGGTATGAAACACCACAATTCCATAAGTTACGGTCACTATCAGTACCTTATTCCATTGTTTCTTATAGGAGAAATTGCCCCGCTTTCCATCGCATAGGCAATGTTTACGCGTTTACGAGCCAACCCCCTCCCCCCCCCGCCTCATTAACATGAAGGATTCCTGTGGGAGAAATGTCCCCGTAATATGAACCTTATCGCGGGACACTGAGGTCCCATAAGCCCCCAGCGCTCGCATAGACATATTGCAATGTCAACAAAAACTTAGCTCTTTTTCGCCAATGGATTTGAAGGATGGTGGCAAGTGTTGCCTTGTTAAACTATGCCTTTAAAACTGAAAACTACTTAACTGCAGTACCTCTATTTAAATACACTATCGAAAAAATAATTTACACCCCTCTGTCAATCATCGTGTTTCTCAGTGTGAATTTGTGAACACACTTTGTAAACGCTACATAAAATGGTATGTGTTTTCAATGTGCTGTTCATATTGCAACAAACGTTTATACTGGTAGGAACAAAGTTGTAAACTGAGTGTACCAGCCTGCAATAGATTA